ATAGAGTCAGATGGTGACTACACAATGTATTAATTTTAGTTAGTTGGTTATGTATTTTTTAAATAAAAAAAAATTTTTGAATTTACTTACTTGTAGCCGGAGTTAGAGGCAGTCGGATACTTATAACCGCTACTGTATAAAATTGCAAGTTTATATCTTTTAGTCAATTTTTCTAAAGATTTATTTGTGCAATTTCTTTTTTTCATTTTGTTTAAAGTGCTAAAAGAAATCTATTTGGTAGATGTAAATATTTCTTCAGTTAAAAATTCAAAAATAACTTTTAGTACTTTTAACAGTTGAATTAATAGAATTTTTACCTTTATTATTAATCTCAGCTGTCAGTTTAATAAACTATAAAGTATATTCTTTTTTATTTATTTTAAAAATTCATTTTACTGTTTTTTAGAAGTTGCTAGATGTAACTTTTTTGACATTTTGAATAGTAGTCTGAATTTTTAAAGTTTGTTTGATTTTAGTATTTTTAACTTTAGCTATTTTCAGAGTTAAGGAACAAATTTGTTAATTTAATTTAAGAGCAGCTTTTTTGAGTTATTTATTTTTTTTTTTAAGAGATTTTTTAATAATTGCTAGTGATTCTTGTTTATAAAATCCAGTTTTAATAAATTTATATACTTTTTTCTGAAGATAAATTAAAAGAATTTGTCTAATATAAATGTCTTTTAAATATACCATTATTTTAAGAAGATGATGAATATTTAAAATTTCTTCATTTAATAAAACATGTTTGTTAAATTAATTTTTTTTTTTGTTAATTTCCAATTATTTTAGTTTTAACATTATTGATAATATTTATTTGCTTAAAAAGTTCATTAAACTCTATAATATTTAAATGATTTATAAACATTAAAATAGTGTTAATAGATAGCGATATTTTATTTAAGTAACTTGTAAGGGATTTTTGTTAAAAATTTTTCTTGCATTATATGCTTTTTTAAGTGATAAAATTGTATTTTTTTGGAAGGCATAATAACAAAAAAAACTTTGTTAGTACTTTTAAGTATGAGTGTAAAACTTTAAAAATAATTTTTTTATATATTTTAATGATATATTTAATGAAATAAAGCCGTTTTTTTTAAAATAAAGTAAAAAAAAATTTACATTATTACGAAATCTTAATAATGTTTTTTTACAAATAATTTTTATGTTTTTAAAAATTTGCATTTATTAGTTTGTATACACATGATTTTTATAACATAAAAAATCATTAAAAATGAAAGTAAAATATGCATATTAAGTTATAAACATTTATATAATACTAGTAATTTACTATATAGATTAAATTATTAATGAAAATTTAAAATAATTATCAATATTATAGGTAATGCATTATATTTGTAATTTAATTAGTATTGTATACTTTAAGGTCTTACCAAAATCAAAATCAAAGATTAAGTCTTAAAGTCCTAAACCTAAACTTTTTTATTTCCTATCTTTAATATAAGTGCATATTTTATAGATAATTTAATATTTATATTTTTAAAAGAATAATTTTAAAAAATCAAATTTTAATTTTATATATTTATAATATCAGTATTTAAAATATTAGTTTTAAAAACAATATTTTATATTTAAAAATTTTGTGATTTAGAAATTTTTAAAAAAATGTTTAATTTAGAATAATAAAATAAAAAGTGTAAATTATAACTTTATAGAATCTTAAAAATTAATGATAAAATTCTAACTCAAATACATTACTTACTACAGTCAACACTTTTTATAACGAAGTGACGGTTCCGTTAGAAAAAAAAAATTCTTTATATAATTTACTATGAACCATTACACTTTTATAACGAACTATTATTAAAATTTAAAAATTGTGAGTTCGTTATATCCAGTGTTCGTTATAAAGAGGTTCGCTATAACTAGTTTGAAACGTATGTTAAAATTAAACGTTAAATGAAATTTAGATTTTAAAATTTATATATTAGGGATTAAATTTAGAAGTTAGAGTTCAATTAGTAAATAGTAGAGGTTTAAAATTAAGTATCTATATAAAAAGAGTTAGAGTTTTGGTTAGAAACTTTGTTAGTACTAGGATTATATTATAATAGGTTATTTATCGAATATATATGCCTTTTTATTTTATTTTATTTTTATTTTATTTAAATATAAAAATGCCAATTACTTTTAAATTTATTTTACATCCCCAATACAAACTTTTCGGCTTTAGCATTACTCATTTGTTGGGAGAATAGTTTTATGAAATTATTATTTATATTATAATAACATATTAATCACACTTTAGTTTAATTGATTTCCTTCACTAAATTGAACAACAGCATATTTTCCAGAAAACATCCAATCTGCTTCAGAAGCAGACAATCTTTCTTCAATCCCTTCAGGAAGTCCAACAATAACATCAGCTTTACTAGTACGAAGTGCCAAAATAGGTGGAGCACCTTTCTCAGTAGCCAAAGGTCCAATTGCATCTTTGAATAAAGTTGTAGTTGGCCATTTACAATCATAAACTAATTTACGGTAATTTAAATCACCTTTAAAAATTACTAAAGAAGATTTAGAAATATCTGAAAATAATTCAGGTGCCTGTTCTTTAAGGTGCCAATACGCATAAGGTGATGTCCAAAAATAATCTGATTTTAGAATCCATTTACCATTATCAACATATCCTTGCCACCTTTTTGCTAACCTTTCGAGATATAATTTTTCGTTGGAAGAAGCAGATGAAAAGAAATCATTTTTCAATACACCAAGTAACCAATTAAAATCACTCGGTGTTGTATCAGAGACAAACCATGGAATTGCTTTGACATGCAAATGAACTTCTGAAGCATAACCATTTTGAATTAACCAATCAGCAAATATCAAATCACCATACAATTCAAACCCTGTATATTATATAAGAGAGAAATTAAGTATTCTTTTTAATAAAAGATCCAATAAAATAAGATTAACTCATACCAGTATTATCAAGAACAAAATCTATTCTCTTCTGTTGGTAATGAGAGAGTTTACCCCATACTTTCTCCAAATCATTTACTAAAATGTTTTTTTCTGATTCTTCCAATGATTTAGCATTTCCTTGTAATTTCTTTATATCGTCATGACTTAAATTTGTTAACAAAGACAAATCAGTAGCATTTCCCCATAAACTTATTTGAGCCAATTCATGAAACAAAATTCTTTTATCACTATCTTGTACTGATGGATTAGAAATTAATCCATCTATACGTTTTGCAAGTTCAATTATGGCTACAAAAGATGCCTTAAATGTATCTTCTTTTTGTCGAAAAAATGGATCATAATTACGCCAATGTTTAGTTCTTACAAAGATTGAATGAGTTCTACGATATAAATAACATTCAGTGAAAAGCCATGGAGCTGAATGCCAATTTTCTTCTTTGAAATATTTATTAAAAACTTCAATCCAAGTATTAACATCTGGCTCACCGTCGTCATCAATCGGTCTAGTTTATCAGATGAAAAAAAAATTAATTTTATAATAAAGGAATAAATTACCTGTTTTACATACTTTAATGGTTTTTTCCGTTGTATTTCGTATTTCAACAAAGCAATTGAATCCATGATATCTATCCCTTCTTTCATTTTTTCAGATTCTATAGAAGGATCAAGCTCATGACGAGTTTTGTAAACATCGTCAATAATTTTTGTAATGATAACTGGCCACCTAACAGTTGTGGTCGTGAATGCGAAACTTTTCTCGTCTGTAGCTCTAAGAGCTGAGCGGGGAGGGTTCGCTGGTGTAACTATTGAGGTTTGTGAGGTCATTTTAATGTCTTGATTTGACAAAATTTTTATTATCGGGCTGTACTTTATTTATTGGAGTTGAGAGAAACCAAAAATCATTCTGACGTAAAATTTGTTGATCGCGTTTTTCATCTTTATTTTCATCTTTCATTTAGTAGATCAAAAAAAACATTTCTTCATTTGGTAAATAATTATGTTGATAATGATAAAATTTCCCGTGACGATCTGCGAAATGACATCTCGTTTTCGCCTTATTAGACAAAAAAGAAAAAAAGAACCTATTTTTGTGGAACACACATTCGCCAAATTAAAATAATTTCGGGATTATTACTATCCCTTTTAAATAAATACCGGTATTTGTATTTGTATTTATAAAATAGATTACATTAAATAGAATGGAAAAAATGTTAGAATCCTTTTTTTTTTTCACATTTCTTTATCGTTAAAATATAAGCCACACACTTGTTATTTTCATTCATGAATAGAATTAATTATTGGGCTCAAAGAAGGAAGACAATGCATTGTATATAACAACTTATATAATTACCAATATTAAATAAAAAACCAAAGTATACATACATAATATGACAATTTTCTTTATGGAACTTAATAAGTCCTTTTGGTTACGCTTTACAAAACGATATATTCCCCCAGATTTATATTATCATTCGTGGACAATTTATGATTTTCAATATGTATTCTTATTAATTTTAGGAATATTTCTTTTTAATATAATTGAATTTCCGGTATTTTTCTTGAAATTCTTGATAGTTTGTATATTTGCAATTGGACTTTATCTTCCAGTACCTCGAAAATTTTTTCTACCCTTCCTTCCTATAGCGAGTTGGTTAGTATTATTTTATTCGTGTAGATTTATTCCAGGATCAAATAGACCTCACATTTATGTATCAGTTTTACCAGCATTGGAAAACATATTATATGGAGATAACTTGTCAGCAATCATAGCTAAGCATACTAATGTGGTTAAGGATGTATTAGCATGGTTACCTTATGGCGTGACACATTTTACGTTACCATTCTTAACGAGCGTAGGGTTGTGGTGGTACGGTCCACCGGGTATTTTGGCAATTTTTTCTAGATCATTTGGATATATGAATCTTGTCGGTGTTCTAACGCAGTTAGTATTCCCATGTTCTCCACCATGGTATGAATACACGTATGGGATGAATACCCCAGCAGAATATACGATGCCAGGAAATCCGGGTGGATTAGCTCGTATAGATGAATTATTTGGATCAAATACTTATACGAATACATTTAATGGGTCTCCAATGGTATTTGGTGCATTTCCATCACTTCATTCCGGATGTGCAATAATTCAAGCATTATTCATTTCATATATTATTCCAAAATCTAGATTATTTTGCTTCGCTTATGTTATGTGGATATGGTGGGCTTGTATGTATTTTACTCATCATTATATGGTTGATTTGGTCGGTGGTGGAATTTACGCCGTTGTTGCATTTTGGTTCGCATGGGATTATTTACCTTTCGTAAACGAACATTATAAAAATCGTTGGGATTATATCAAAGAAAAGAATGGTTTTTTATTACCAACGAATAATTATATTAATAATAATCTATCGTTTAATTCGCCTAAATTTGATAATAACGATGAATTAGAAATAGAAATTGCGACTGCTATTAGTGTAGGAACTGCAACTAGTGCAAGTTCTTCTAAAAGTAATACATCATTGGACATTATAGGTCAACCTTTTCATGAAGTTAAACTTCATTCTTCAAATAATTTATAATAAAATAATAATAATACATGTAATTCTATATATATAAATAAATATATATATATATTATTAAAAATTATTACATTAAGAGGAAAATGTCATCCCAAGTTGTTCACAACAGCTTTCGCAATATCTTGAATTTCTATCTGTTCCTGATTGCGTGCATCCAGAACAATAAATACCCCCGCATGTTTTACAATGTATTTTCCTTTCTAATACTGCAAATTTTGTTCCACATTTGAGACAATTATCCGTTTGATTATCTGGCATCCAATGTGTTTCTAGTTTAACATCTGGTAAAACCCATGCATAAACTTTCCCTGATGAATCTCCACTATAGAGAATACGCTGCGTTCCAGAGACTAACAATGCCACTATATCTAATGTTAATCCCGATTTACTTTCATGCTTTAATTGATGTTTTAATGAAAGATCCCATTTAACCACTAATTAATAATAATAATTTGTTATTAATAGATGTTCCAAAACTAATAAAATAAAAAACGAATAATTTATCAATTTCAAATACCATTCTTTTCACCATTATTCGAAACAGGTTTGGGTTCCAAAGTTTTATTCCATATCTTTACTATTCCCTTCTTATGTCCTGTTACGATCAAATCTTCGTAAAACCATTCATTTTGTTTTCCCTAAACAATTATAAAAAAAAAAATTAGTATTTGTGATAAACCTGAAAAGATATTTACATAGAACGAAAAAAATTTACTTCATAAAAAGTACAACAAAGGATAGGATCTGAAGGTTGTGAGGTGTTTTTAGCTAATAAAAGATCCCCATTAACTGTCCATATCCTAATGACTGATCCACTGCATGTGGCAATATCTCCTGTAGTATCATTGACTGCGACAAACTATCAAAAAAAAATTGAAAACATTATATTTAGCAAAGTAAAATATTTACATTTAAATTTCTTTATAAAATGCTTACTTGAACTCCGGCTTCATGATTCTGTAACTGTCTTACGTATTTCATCCTATTCAAATCCCAAATTATACAAGTTTGATCCTATGAAAAGAATAATAATAATAATTGTTAAAACCGTATTTATGAATAAATACTTTATATTAAGTACTTACATCTGATCCACTAATAATGATGCTATAAGATCTCGAAGTTGTAACACAATTAATCTTTGCCGAATGACCTCGCAAACATTCCATAAACCGAAATTCAGGAGATTTTGTCTTCCATTTTAATCTCCAGATGCAAATAACCTAATAAAATAATAAAATAAACGTGTAAATTTCAAAAAATGTTATTCTCAAAGAATATATTTTATCACTAAATATCACTTACTGCATCTGTGCCTCCAGTAATAAACGTTCTCCCATCTGCAAAACATGCACAGCTTACAGCTTCCAAATGAAGATTCTCATATAGTCCAACCAGCTATAGAACAGTGAAATAAAAAAATTTTAAGATACAAGTAACCTATATATATATATATGTATGCTTTTTAAAAACAAACCTTTCTTGTATCGGATTGATGAAGTCGAAGACTATTATCAGCGTAACCCCACTCAACATAATGTGTATAATTAGGAGGAACCAAGATTTTTTGTGTGCTAACCGCTACTAAGCGATCATTATTTGTTAAACGAATATCATGCACTTGTAATAGAATGTCTAAATGTAATTAAAATATTAATAATTTATTATATAAAATATACACACCAAATATACACTACTTAAGAATTACCTATCAATGGATGTATTGACTGAATTAATTTGTCCACATTTTCATGGAATTTATATAACCCTATACCATTAACAGGATCATATGATTCGGGCAATCTTGCAGGATGATGTCTAGTGAACAATTGACGTGGTGTTTGCCCAAAATTATGAATTATTCCGGTTGATGCAGAACGTTCAACAGGATCGGTAATGGCATCCAAATCTTTTAAACAAGATTAAATTTAGCATATACGCACATATAAAATACCAAAAAGAAAAAGAGGGTAATCTACCTATTGCTCCCTCGTAAGAAAGATGATGGAAAACGTTTATAGCTTCAACTGCCGCTGGTCCTTGTTGCTTATAACCAAAAACCAAATCTATCCACTCATGAAGGTGCGCACTTACATATTCACTTTCAAGAGCCTAAAAAAATTACGTGCAATGATAATATAAATAATTGATACTTAGCTAACGGACATTTTTATATACGGACCTGTCGATGCTTATGAATAAATATTTTGGAATCTCCATGAGCCCACGGAGGAAGAATGATTGAATCAATAACTTCTCCAGTTCCTTGTTTGACACCTTTATAACAAACCAAATTAAAATTCTGCAACAAAATACGAAATATAACAATAGATAGACATAATACCAAAATTGAATTTGTTAGTATTTTCTAAGAATTCGGGTAAATAAAAGAATTCGGGAATTAATTCTCGGACGTCACTCATATTATCGCGTGTAGCAGATGACCACGCTTTTTGAATAGAGTAGAATAATCGATCAGCGTGATCAAAATGTCCACCCTAATATCAATAAATTTTTGAAAGGATAGTCGTGTTAACCAATTTTTTTTTTTAAAAAAAAATAATTATTAAAATGAAAATTTACTTGAAGTTTTAAATATTGCTGGACAAATGGTTCAAGTCGAATTAGATATGAACAAACAATCATTGCAGATGAGTAATGCGTTCCATAATGAAACGCCGGTGTTGTTGCATTTGCAGTTGGATCAAAAGAACGATATCGAATTTGGAATTCCTCTACAAATTGAGTGAAATAAAGTTGTATCACAAATTAATCATATAACAAAAGTTTTTTAATAAGATAATTATTTACTCTTTCGTTCTTCTGTTTGAGCTCCCATAGGTTTTGATAAATCGCGAAAAGTAGCTGGATTCGTTAAATCCAGCTAAAAAAAAAAAATCAAATACGATATTAACTAAATTTCTTTCTAAAAAGAAAAAAAAAAATGAAAATTTCATCACACTTACTTCTTCACTAGTATAGTCGGCTAAAATCCATGGAAAGACGGGATATTGCGTAAGGTCTAAAACAAATTAATGTAAGCGATGAGGATAACGGTAATTTTAAATAAAGATCAGTCGTAAACGTACCATTATACGATCGCCCAGCCAGTGTGTTTAAATGCATTAAATACTGAAAGTTTGATATTTCCCTCTTTTCCCATCGTGAAGTTAATTCGGATAGCGAGGAATTTGCAAAAAAATTAAAATTTGCCAATTTGAATGACAAGCCACTTGAAGAGCCAAT